GCTGTTCCACGTTTGGGAAGAGCCGCGGCGTGGGCCTTGGCACTGTCTTCGCGCTCGCACTTTGGAGTCAGCGCAGCGTGCCAAGGGTTCTATTGGGGGCAGATGGGGAGCTCAGCTTGCAGTTCTATGCCAACAGTTTCGGCCTGCGCTTATGCGGCTGAGTTTTCACTTGGGCCAGCTTGTGCTGCCCATCGGATCGGATGCCGCCGCTCGCCAAGCAAGGTTCTGCAAGTCTGCCGAGGCCCTCGCGCCTTACTTCAGGTTGTCCGAGCGCCGGCGAGGCAACTTCCAGGACTTGGCCCCGCCCCCATCCCCTTTTGCCATTGAGGAACATCGATGGGGCCTTCCTGGGGCGCCCTAGACCGGGGGATTTTTCGATGCTGGAACTAGAGCTCTGGAGTTCGCATCTTTTGCATCTGCGGGGCTGCTCGCATCGTGGCCCGAGAGGCCCGCGCGCTCATCGCGAGTCGCAGTGCAGCCGGTGGTGCGCGCGCTCATGCTGAAGACCTGTCTCGTCAAGTCTCATCTGCCAGGGCCCAGGAGGGCTGCGCGGAGATATTCCGTGAACTCAAAATTAGAGGAGGAGGAGGAGGAGGAGGAGGAGGAGGAGGAGGAGGAGGAGGAGGAGGAGGAGGAGGAGGAGGAGGAGGAGGAGGGGGAGGAGGAGGAGCTGCGGCGTCGACGGACCGCCTCGGCGCGCTCTCGTCGGCGTGGCCGACAGGTGGCTGCGGCGCTTCCGCGGTGCAGAAGCAGCGCCAATGGTCCTGGCGCCAGACTTGCATTGGCACTCGTCGGCCTTGCCAGTGTACCGACAGCAGCAACGCATGGTTTTCGCATTGACGTGCCCGAGCTTGGGCGCGTCCGGCACTCCTGCGAGGCAGCCAGTGCGTCAAGGCCTGGTCCAGATGGAGTCGTGGGCGAGATCCCGAAACGATCTGCTCTGTCCTCGGGTGAATTCTGCCGCCTGCTCATGCTTAAAGGCGCGGTCGGAGTTTGTGGGCCCATCCAATGCATGGGCGGGATCTGTTGGGGCCTGTTCAATGCTGGGGCTCATCTCGAGTCAAGAACTGCACTTCTATCTTGAGTTCATCTCAGATAGGCAAAAGGTTCCTTGCTATCGCGGGAGCTAGCATTGTCCCTGAACTCCTGGGCAAGGCAACAGGTAGGCAGTCTGGAAGGCATTCTGGCCGAGGTGCGGAGTTTTCAGCATTGCAGCCCAAGGCGTTTCAACAATGTGCTGTTGCGCGCAAAGAAGTGCGTGCTTCTGCCCTCCGCCGACGCAGTGCAGGCCTTCTCCTGACTTGTCAGAAGGCTGGTCTTTATCACGGATTGTGATGATGAATTCTTGGCTATGCTACGTATGACATGCGGGCTCCCCCATGACACCGCCCGTGAGCTCTGCGAGCTTGTCAGGTCCCAGGTCCCTTGCATGGAGGAGGCTGGAGTCTCTGAACTGCGTCGGGCTCAGATCTCGAATGCCTGCGACGATTCGTGGTTCTATGTCAAGGACGTGGAGGGTGTTGCGTTCCCGTCCCGCTGGTTTCGCAGCGGGCTGCAAGTGGGATGCAAAGTCTACATGGCCACCGCGGCTAAAACTATGGTTTCCGCTCAGACGTGGCTACTGGACTTTGACGCTGTATTCGTGGCGCCTTCTGGGGGCGTGCTTCCGCTTGCTGCGTAGCGGGGCGAGAGATCCGTCTGGAGTGTTCTCGCGCACTTGTCATTCTCTGGGTGGCGCATTCCTCGACGACGCCACCCTAATTTCGCCGGCAGTGCTGAGGCTCTTCCATGTCAAACGCCCGTCGTAGCAGCCTCGGTCATCGAGGCCTTCGCCCTGCGCGACCTGCGCGTCGACGACAAGCCAGGCAAACTAACCTTCCTGTTTCAGTTTCGGGGCCCTGGAATAAGGGTGGCGAGGAGTGCTCCTGTCTGGGGAGTGCGTGACATGCTAGGTGCGCGCGCCGACGCTGTGGGCGAGGTTGTTCTACGCCGAATTTTGCGACACGTGCGCCTTTGCACCATGCGCGACATGACAAGCTCCATGGGGCCCGAGCTGGCCAGCAAACGCAGGAATTGTCGGCTCCCTGGGAAGGCCCTGAGGTCTTGGGTTTTGTAATGCGACGCTATGGGGGCTGCTTCGGCTATGGTGATTTGGGACTCTCTGGTGCGTTCGGGCAGATTGTTTCAAACTTGCAAATGGGGGTGCCTCGCCAGTGCGTCGCAGGGGTCTTCGCGACAGTCTACTAATGTTCTATCAGACTGTCGCCAGACTACCTCGACGCTGTGAGTCTGTCGTTCATAATTCAAGGGCGATTGAAGCGGCCGGCAGACTTCAGGTGGCGTCTCTCCTACTAGGCTTCGCCTTTTTGGCCGCCTGTTGCTCTCTGGAGTTCCGCATATTCGTGCTTTGGTGGGTGCGTGCTTACGTGGGTGCGAATGCTCCAAGGCCCAAGTGTTTTTTGTAGATATCCGATGGCTTCGCCAGCACCTTGTGCAGTTCTAGCACCATCCTGACATTGAGAATGACTTGCAAGCATGGAAGCAGGAATCGAAGCGATCGCCGTCGAAGTGCAAACACACTGTCAGATCACATCTCGCAGCGCACGTGCGCCAGTTGCATAGAGAAGCGCTTTCACTTGTAGCAGAGTGTGATCTCTTTTGCATTCGGGGTGACGCAGGCGTCCATCATCTGTGAGAGAGCCCGCTGCATTCCAGGAGGGAACTCGAGAAATCGCAGTGGGAGCAATAGCTGTGTTTCTTGTGTCAAGCTTCCTCTGATGCGCCCAAGAATTGCGATCGCGTGTCCTTCGGCAGCACCGCGCGTGTTCAGCAGATCTGTCGAATGGAAAACGACAGCCTCACATGCCCTACGTGTTTTCCATCATTCGCTCACCGCCCTACTCTCACGTCGCACCTTGCCTTCGGCTCGGATGGATGTGCCCTTGAATACAACCTCAACAATGGGCCGTCCGAGGCTATCCGCTTTTTTGGGCTTTCGCCAATATCCCTCGACAGCCCCGTGCCGTTCGAGTCTCCCACTGGCTCTCTGTTGCTTCAACTTCCGGAGCCCCCCAGAACCCCTACGTGCACGAGTGTCTTGCCGTGTTGTCATGCCCCTGCTCGCTCCAGCACCTTAGCTCTTGCAGATGAAGTGGAAGCTTGTCTCATGGAGGGTCAGCGGTCTACGATTGTAGTGACAACAGGTGCACTCTTAATGAAGACAGGCCCGACGAAACTGAATCGCATCGTCTCACCGCGCAGCGCAGTGCAGGCTTTGGCAGATGGCGAGCAAACGCCGCAGCATGCCGTGCGCATGGTGTCCGTGCGCCAAGGCAAGATCTCGCATGGGTACTTACTCCCCTGGGTGCCAAACAGGTTCGTTTTGATCCCGATTACGCTACTCCTGAGGAGAAGAAGACGGAGTTATGTCACATCTTTCCGGGTGGCCCTGCCCCGCCCAAAGTTGCACGAGAAACTCCGTTCTACCGCTTCAATAGCTGAAGCAGTACCGCTCTGGATTTGCAGGCGGTCCTTTTTCGTTCCCTATCTCCTTTGTGGCCACCGCAGGAGGGAATCTGTGCAGTGTCATATCGAAGATTCGCTTGCTCTTCCCAGTGTCGAAACAACGGTTCTCAGCGTGGACAACGCAGTTGGCGCTGTCAGAGGTGGCCTTACCAGCGAAAGAGAGAGAGAGAGAGAGAGAAAGATAGAGAGAGAGAGAACAAGAGAGAGAGAGAGAGAGACAGAGAGAGAGAGAGAAGGAGAGAGAGAGCGCACCAAACTGGAATGGATCGAGCATGCTCGGTGCTATCGTTTCACCAGCATACGGGGGAGGGCCGCCTTGCGAAACTTGTTCTGCGGCGAGGTGGCCAGAAGGCGGCCCCCCTCCCCTCAGGTCAACGCAGCATGCCTGGGTTATTCCATGGGCTACCAGGAGGCAGTCTGAGCAAGCAGAAATCGGATCCATGCTACGCTTTGCTTCAGTGCGCTTGATTGCTGAACACCTCAAAGCGGGCACTGGAGGTTGGCTCGAGCACCCCGCGCCTGCCAATCACCCGGGCCCCTGAAGCTCCCACTTCCGTCAGACGGCGTCCCCTGCCGGCCCTTGCTGCTGCTCCGTGCGCACCGCTCGCGGAGTTCGACCCGTGTGAGCACCAGGACCTCCCGGCTGTGCACCTCTACTCCTGGCAGGGCACCGACTTGCATCCTTTGTCTTCGAATGCCTTCTCTGCACAGTTTGTTGCCTGATACCCCTGGTCAAGACAAGTGCTCTCACGGCAGAGGTGCTCACAAGACTCTGCTGGGCAAACGCCCAGACGGATTTTTTCACGGCCTCCAAGAAGGCCCATCCAGGAGGTCTTTGCAAGGCGCTAGCGCGAGGCATCGTGCACAGCATCAATGCTCTGCCTGGCCGTTGGGAAGATGCCTGTCGGTCCCAAGAGGCCCTTTCCTATCAGTATCCTCAGTTAAGAAGAGACCGTTCGCTCGAGCTTGTTCGATTTCTATGCTGCGTTATAGAGAGAGAGAGAGAGAGAGAGAGAGAGAGAGAGAGAAAGAGAGAGAGAGAGAGAGAAAGAGAACAGAGAGAGAGAGAGAGATGTCCCTGACCCGTCTGCGCCTGCTCCAGATTATGTTGGCATCGGGGAAGGCTGCACTCGTAGGCCCAGAACGGACCCTGACAAGTTTAGATTCGATTCTTCTTCGGACTCGGAGGTGGAGGATCCTTCTATCCCCGACTCTGCCCCGCATGCTGTCGCAGAGGATAGTGACCTTGAGGAGCAGAGAGTTGCGGATTTCCTGTGGGCTCCTCCTCCTCCTCCTCCTCCTCCTCTTGCTCCTCCTCCTCCTCCTCCACCTCCTGCTCCACCTCCTTCTCCTCCTCCTCCTCCTCCTCCTCCTCCTCCTACCCCTCTCCCTCCTCTTCACTACTGCTCCCTGCTCATCCTTCTGCTCATCCTTGCGTCCATCACCCTGCAGCAACCGATGCGGGCGGGGCCGGCCTTGATGGCCTTCGCCACCATGCCCACCACCGGCAGGGAGCCGGGAGCTCGTGCCAGGTCATCCAGGACGCTCACCAGGTCCTGATGGGGTAGGAGGATGATTTCTAGGGCTCTGGAAGGCTCAAGCTGGTTCCAGTTTTTGGGGGGGATCCCATCTCTACGCCGACCATGGCCAAAATCATCGGAGGGGCGGAGTGGTGACAACATCGATGGATCGGTGGCCGTGCAGCTTGGACACGGAACGGGTTCACCACTGCGCGACGCGCGATTATCCTCGCGCCCTCGCGGCGCCCCCTTGGAGAGGGGCACGTGCTCTGGCGACATCCGGCCCGGCCCGCGACGCGCGCAGCGCCGTTGTTTTCGCACCCCTGCGGGTGACCCACGATTGAATACAGTGGAGGCCAGTCCACAATAAACCTGCCACAGGGAGCCCAACCCTGGGACCTCAGGACGTCCATTGATTTTGGATGTGGGAACGTCACGCTTTCCACAGCAAAACCATCGAAACCCAAGAAACCCAGGGCACCCTGGAGGCAAGCAGGGCGTTTCTTGGCATGGGCCTCCACTGTACGATGATGCTCATTTCCAGCGACCAGCGTCAGCGTCAGTTCCCCAACCTCTGGTGGGGAGGGGGAGGGGGGGCAAGCTCCACCTTCCAACTGGAACCACGCGCGCGGTTCGCGCGCGCGCTCAGGTTCTAGTCCAAGGCACTGGCTCATGCTCATCCGAAATCTGCGCTCCACATCGCGACCCCGCTCAATCTTTTTGTTCCTTTCCTCTCTCTCTCTCTCTTTCTCTTACGGACCTCCCCTTCTCCCTACCTATCCTGGTTCGCCTTTTGTCTTCTTCGGTGTCTGATATTGCTCCCCGTTTTCTCCCCTTGTTCGCACGCGCTTCGCGGGCATTGAAGTCCTTGAAGGTTCCGACACTGCGTGACACGATGATATATGTAAGTCTCCCTCCTTCAAGTCGTCTTCTCGTCGTCCTCGTCAATCTCCTTCAAGTCCTGCTTGTTCTTCTGAGTGTCCCCACTGATCATCATATTCGTCGCATTCATCCACGCCCTTTTTTCATTATCATTCTCCATCCTCTTCCTTAACTGTCTCGTCCTCCTCTGTCACGCTGGCGCAAGATTGTGACTCGCGCAAGGAGCACTGAGCGGCAGCGGGAATGGAGGCATGGGGGGGAGGGACGAGAGAGGGAGCCTGCGCAGGTGTGGGTGGGCGGGCTTTCGACAGTCTCGCGAGGACCCTGGGACAGCTCGAGCCAAGATGGCAACAACATCCCAGACCGAGGCCATTGACCCTGCGAGGCCTGCTGGAGGCCCCGGCAGGTAATCGAGGTCAGTGACCTCGCGAGGCCCGTTGGAGGCCCCCGCAGGTCACCGACCTTTGCCTCCATTCTGACATTTCCGGGCGGCCCTCCGGGAACAATCCGGAGAGGCCCTTTCCGATGCTCCTGTGGGGACCTCTCCGGGAGCATCCTAGACAAGCGCCCCTCGATCCGTGGGTGTCGCGGGAGCGAGCCATGGAGTGAGATGGAAGCCGCAGGCCCGTGTGTGTGTGTGTGTGTGCGTGTGGGGTGGGCCAAGCATAAAAAATCACCTGCTCGTGCACCAGCTAGAACTGCTCCTTGCCTTCCCGCGGCACGGGGCGCGCCAGCCACCCCAGGCTGTGCGCGCCTCCGCTTCTCCCCGCCCAGAGATCCGACGCAACTGGTGATTTTTTCAATGCCGGGCCCCTGCAAGTCTCGACCCATTCCCCAGGGCCGGTTTCTCGTCCTGAATCGTGTTGTGATGGCCCCGAGACCCGGCGAGGGCCCCTGGAGACCGAGACACACGAGAAGCCTCCGTCTTGACTTTTTCAATGCGTTGGATCTCTGGGCAGGGCGCTCCACCCCGCCCCAGGTGCTGCGCTCGCCTCCCCGCGGCTCCGCCTCTGCGCGGGCCCGCTGCCGACACACACACACACAAACACACACACACACACACACGCACACGCACACGCACACGCACACGCACACGCACACGCACACGCACACGCGCACACGCACACGCACACGCACACGCACACGCACACGCGCACACGCGCACACGCGCACACGCGCACACGCGCACACGCGCACACGCGCACACACGCACACACGCACACACGCACACACGCACACACGCACACACGCACACACGCACACACGCACACACGCACACACGCACACACGCACACACGCACACACGCACACACGCACACACGCACACACGCACACACGCACACACGCACACACGCACACACGCACACACGCACACACGCACACACGCACACACGCACACACGCACACACGCACACACGCACACACGCACACACGCACACACGCACACACGCACACACGCACACACGCACACACGCACACACGCACACACGCACACACGCACCCACGCACACACGCACACACGCACACACGCACACACGCACACACGCACACACGCACACACGCACACACGCACACACGCACACACGCACACACGCACACACGCACACACGCACACACGCACACACGCACACACGCA